TCAACACATGGATTAATAGTAATGTATGTCCAACACATGGACTACAAGTAAAGAGGTGTGTAGGCTGTCTAAAAATCACAATAGATAGCTTATCCCCCATCAACCACCGATGATGGAAGTTACAATCTGACGACTTCCAGAAGGCTATAATCTGAAGACTTTCGCGTAGATTGCTGAAGGTTACAATCTGACGACCTTCACGACAACTGATGGAAGCTCTACTTCAACAGCCTTCACAATCAACATCGGGAGTTACAATCTGACGACTCTCATATTCTCAAGGAGCCAAGACGAAGATTACAAGACAATGATCTTTGCAACGCTATGACAAAAAGAGATTACTTGGTGATAATCTCTGCAAGGCAAGACGCGGAGGTCCTCCCCGCGTCTCAACATCAAAACGCCAGGGTCGAACCCCGCGTTACAACATCAAAACACCAAGGTCGAACCCGCGTTACAACATCAAAACGCCAGGGTCGAACCCCGCGTTACAACATCAAAACGCCAGGGTCGAACCCGCGTTACAACATCAAAACGCTAGGGTCGGACCCGCGTTACAACAAGCTAAACGTGAGCGACCCTCGCGTTCTTAGGGGTCCAGCCAACACCGACCCCCGCATTTCTAAGCTACAACAAACCAAAACGCGAGCGACCCTCGCGTTCATCAATGTTCAGCTAACACCCAACTTCGCGGCTCAATTCTAAGAGGCGAAGTTGGGTTCTGAACGCCAGATTGGGCGTTTTGACTTGTTCAAACACAAGCCGAACGGCCTCAAAACTGTTATCCCACGTTCTGAGGGATTTTCGCCCACTACAACAAACCAAAACGCGAGCGACCCTCGCGTTCATCAATGTTCAGCCAACACCCAACTTCGCGTCTCAATTCTAAGAGGCGAAGTTGGGTTCTGAACGCCAGATTGGGCGTTTTGACTTGTTCAAACACAAGCCGAACGGCCTCAAAACTGTTATCCCACGTTCTGAGGGATTTTCGCCCACTTAGGAGCGGATTTAGAGGGCAGTTACAACCTCTTATCCCCCTATAAAAGTGAGTAAACTCAACTGAGTTAAAGGTTGGATTTTCTTGGCTTGGATCTACCATTGGAGACAGGCTTTTGAGGAGATCGACATCATCTTCCAACAAAGATCATCTTCAACTTCAGCAACAGAGAGCTTTGATCCTTGGCTATTAACCGAACTTTCGGTTCAAATCAACTCTTTTTCAAGAGTTCAAACTCGATCAGAGTTATCAACTCATTAAGAGTTTTAAACTTGCCACGCAAGTTCTCCACAACGTCAAATCGTGAAGAGAAGACGTCGTTCCAGTGAATCAAGACGTGCGGATCGTCAACGGAGAGCAAACTCGACGCGAGCACTCGAGGGAGGCACTCCATCGCCACCGTGAAGAACCCAATTTTAAACAAAGAGGAAGAACCAATTTCGTTCTCCTCTCTTTTGTAATCGAATTGTAATCGGAATCAAAGAAATATAAGTCAATTTTCTTTATTCTTTTCATTGCAATTTTCCCCACAAACAAGGTGCAACTGTCAAAGGTATATGTCGAAAGGTATACATATCCTAAAATCGCACGTGTCTCGATGTGCAGGTCTAAACTTGTGTCAAAAAGTCAACCCCTATGTATATATAAATCACTAACATTGTAATCAAATGTCAAGTCATCGAGGCGACCCCGAAAAGCAACTCAAGCAGGTCAAGAACCTGTAAAACATCTCATCAGTCGACTCATGTGTCGACTGATGCAATCAGTCGACTCATTGGTCGACTGATAAGATCAGGCAGAACAGCCTCAGCTCGCCAGTCGACTGATCGGTCGACTGGGAAACTGAGAAAGCAAAATCAGTCCGTCAGTCGACTGATAACTAATAAAATGCAGCCCGTCGGTCGACTGATCAGTCGACCGAACTGGCGCAGAAACTGTTTGTGCAGTTGATTATTTGCAATACTATTTATATAAAATCATCATCATCAATCCCAAGCATAAAGATACCGATTTTAACATATATGTACTAAACTGAAATGAAAGATCTACATGCAAACATCTATCAAAAACCTTAAACATATAAAAACATGTTTGATACGTTCTAAAATCAATAAATCATGAAATAACTCTTGTCAAACGTTTTCAGATCTAGATAATTTTAATAAAACGTTGATGATCCTTTTTATAAACTGAAAAGCTCAATATTTCGCATCATATATTATAAAGATCTATTCTTTGTACTAAAAATACGTTTTAGGATCAATAAAATTCATTAAAACTCAATAAATTCGTGCAAAACAAAAGGGACAGGGTTGGGCGAGATGTTACTCGCCTTTGGGGTGATGAAAAGCTCATGGATCTGCGAGAGAGTGGTTTCTTTCGCTGCAAAGTGAAAATCTCGACGAAAATCCTCTGAGTTCTCCCCAAAATCACCAAGAACGAACCTAGGGTTTGAGAGAGGAGAGAGGGGGCTAGGGTTTCTCAGATCTGATGATGAGAGGGGGTGTTTTCGGGTAGGGGAGATCATATATGAACAGCCAGACCCGACACAAAACCCGAACCAATCAAAACAGACCCGAAACCTGGAAAAACTGGGAAACAGCCTGTCAGTCGACTGACTGAGCTCGTCAGTCGACTGATTGGTCGACTGATCTGGCAGATTCTTGTTTCGTGCATGTTTTGCTTATTTGCAAAACCAAGGCACAAAACTCTATATATATACACTCATATCATCTCAAATAACTTGTTATCATGTCCATCTATGACCTCAAGCTATTTATCACAATAACTCACATATATACATAACAAAAAAAATACGGGGTTTTACAGCTACGAAGCGGATCTAAAGTCCAGAAGGCGCCAACCGCCACAACAACGAGCGAACAACCTCTCCTCCTCCAGATCATCAACAAGTGAATGGATCCAAGTCAAAAGGATCAGTTCAACTCTTGAGGAGCGAATCCAGAGGCACCGCGCACTGCTTGCGTACGCGCGAATTCTTGTGCAAAAGGCACGAAAGATGCAGAAGGACATAGCCAAGAAACAACCAAGACTGCCAGCTTGTTTTCGTCAAAAGTTGCTTTCATTATCATTGAATCTATTACAACTTCGGGCGTTACAATAAACTCGAATAAAATAAAAAGTTGATATTTTTATAAGATCTCCTTACACAATGAAAATAAAAAGTTTACAACTTTATCAAACAAACGCAGAGAGACCGTTTATCGGTCTTCTGCTTGTGCGGGATCTTGTAGGTAATTTTAGATACCTATAATAATTAGAAGGGTTAACTCTTAATCATTCTAAATAAGAGTATTAGTAAACCCCTCATTTTTAGGGGTTAACTCATTTTAATCCCTCTAGAGGGGTTAGATTAACCCTTCTATATTTTTTATGTTTGAAAAATTATAAATGGTTAACTCACTTTAACAATTGTATAGATTTTTTGTGTTTGGCGGGTTAAGAAGGGGTTAAGTTTCCTTAACCCCTCACTTAACCCTTTGCCAAACGGTACGATAGTGTTTTTTTTTGGTCCTTTCAACAACTAGTGCGAACAATCTTTAATTATGCATGGTTTTTCATTGTAAAGAAAATATATGCATAATTAAACTTAAAATTTGTCACTCATATAAAAATGCAAAAGAAATGATAGTTTCTCATGTTCAAACATGATTAGACACATATAGACTAGCTTAGCAAATAGATAGGTTTCATGTAAGGTCGGTATCTTGCTTAAGAATCAAGTCATTCGGATAATTTTATGAAGAATAAATGGGAAGAAAAATTGAAAATAGAGAATCATCATGAGTAGAATTAATACATAAACTATTCTTTACTATAGCTAAGTTCACTATCTGTACTCTTCACTATAAAAAAGATTCTTTGCCTTGCGACCAAGGAAACATACACTGCATGGTTAATTACTTATGAAGAAAGAGGAGTTGATATCAAGCTCACAAACAATTAATTTCTTGAAATAATTTGATTCTTTAAGCATTTAATTAGACTTTAACTTTTCCTTTCTTTCCAAAATAAGCAAAATCATCGGACCTCTAGGCATTATATCATACAGCTTCTAAACTCTGTCATCACGTCAGTGACACTCTAATTAAGCTTCCTATTTTAAGCAAGTTCTCATGGTCGATAGACGCTCTACTATCATAATATATATTTTTTAATGTTGTTTGTTACAATTGGATGAACCACAATTAGATATACATATGTAATTTTCTTACTCAAACACATCATATTTGTATCAGGATTCGCGATTCGTACGTGTCAATTAAGTATGATAAATTATTGCGATATCCAATTAGCACCCTATAGTTAGTATCCAAACATGCATACACCTAAGTTTTACTGTTGAGTTTGGGAGACCTTTGATGTTGACTTTTTGATAAATTTTGGACTCAACAAATTGACAGAAGTTCCATCTCTTTACTAAGATAAGTAAATAAATAAACAAGTTTAATGTAAACCCTCCGCAGGTGTGGGCATGGTGTTGACATTGACTTTTTTTTATAACTTTAAGATTCGTTAATGAGTTGAATACGTTTCCATCTTTACACAGCTAGTTATCAGTTCTTTATTAAGCTTCATCTTAAAGTTGGCTAAATTGATGCTGAACTTTCCAAAATACGCACGCTACATTGAGCTTTGGTCTTCGGCCAGCGAGAAGTTGAATGTTGAACTGAAAGCATTAATTAAGAGAAGTAGAAAATTATGAATCCTTAACTCGACAAGGGCAAGAGTTGGATTAACCTAACTTCAAGAAATTAATAACTATGAAGAGAATGTGACTCTGCAGGTTAGCATGCACAAGGTGCTTTACTTCACCTTATTTGCTTTATCATTAAAAAGAATTAGTAAGGTGGCGGTGACCCCTGGGCAATTTAATTAATTGCCGGGCAATCGTTCATGATTCTGTTATTATATGACATACAAGAATTAAATTGCAACACTCCCAAGCAAATTGAACAAATAACCTGACCATGGGCTGCACATTAATTATTTGCGCCGCAAGCGTCGGCCATCTCTTAACATGAGCCCGCGCGCGCCTTTGCTTGCCCTGACCGCTTGCCTGCAGCTCCCAGTTAGTCAACTCCTTGACGCGCTCGCAGCATGCAAATGGAGCCCATAAAAAGGGCCTGCGCCCTCGTTAACAAATCACAGCCGAACTCATTCATTAATTGAGACTTTTCAACAACGCAGAAGAAAGATGTCTCCGACGACTCGATCCGCCCTCTGCTTGATGGTGGTATGTGCAGCCCTGTTTCTGAGCGTGGCCGAGGCAAGAAGGAAAGTGAAGTGCCATAACAAGAAAGCGTATCCACATTGTGCAGGATACCAGTTCTACTGCCCTGACTCTTGCGAACATTCTTGCTATGTCGACTGTGAGCTCTGCCGCCCCGTCTGCTGTAAGTCCCAGCTATAACTCGATTCTCTGCGGTGCTGTCAACTTCTATGATTATAATTTCAGACTCTAACGTATTTGATCTTGTACGTGTTGTTGTACCCGTAGCTTGTGACAAGCCTGGCGGTGTGTGCCAAGACCCAAAATTCGTGGGCGGAGACGGCATCACGTTCTATTTCCACGGCAAGAAGGACCGTGACTTCTGCCTCCTCTCCGACTCCGACCTCCACATCAACGCCCACTTCATTGGCAAACGCGGCCCCACCATGAGCCGTGACTTCACGTGGGTCCAATCCGTCGCCCTCCTCTTCGACGACCACCGCCTCTACGTCGGGGCCCAAAAGACCGCCGCCTGGGACAACGATGTTGATCGCCTCGAGATCAGCTACGATGGTCAAACCATCGACCTCCCCGCAACCGAAGGTGCCAGATGGCAATCCTCCACTCTCCCCGCACTGTCCATCGTCAGATCCCTGGGCACCAACGCCGTCACCTTGGAAGCCGAGGGCAAGTTCAAGATCACCGCCAACGTGGTTCCGATCACCGAGCAGGAGTCCAGGGTTCACAACTATGGAATCACAGCCGAAGACTGCTTCGCTCACCTCGAGCTAGGATTCAAGTTCTACTCTCTGACCGATGATGTGCACGGTGTATTGGGACAGACTTACAGAGAGGGATACGTTAGCAGAGTGAAGATGTCGGCCAACAATCCCATTATGGGAGGCGAGCACAAGTTCTCGGCGTCTGAACTGTTTGCGCCTGACTGCGCTGTGTCCAGGTTCGGGCGCGCTGGGTCTGGGATTGCCATGATGTCGGAGCTGTCTAGTGTCAACTGTGCGAGTGGGATTGCGGGCCGTGGGCTCGTCTGCAAGAAGTGAGGGGACGTAACAAGTTGTGATAACTATTCAATAATTTTATGTTTGTGTTGTGTGAAAAAGGATTGCAATAAGAGCTAATTAAGAATAGGCTCAGGATCGAAGAATAATAGAAGATGCGTTGACATCCGTATTTGTTTTAGGTGAAAACGTGGTGCATTGTTGAATTTGGATCCTCTATTTTTTTTTCTTTCTTTCTGTGAAAGCTTAGTTCTATTCAATACCAAAATTATCAGTAATTGCAGACTCTAGTAGGACACTTAAAAACTGATGCTTGCATATAAAAGTTCCACATTCATGTAAAGCTCTTACACTATGTACACGTAGAGAACTGAACCTGGGTCAGTTATAACAAAAAAAAAAATATTGTCAGTACCTCTAGTTTTGCTGATGAAAACAGGTTAAATGCAGCACATCTTCTTTTTTTTTAATGAATCCTAATTTTTTGAGACACCACTCAGCTAAAATTTCAGGATGAACTTGATCTGCAGCATCAGACCCGCTACATTTGGCTTCAATTTCCTGAAAATCAATTCATTTCTGGCTTTTCAAACATAGTATATGCAAGCAACAAGAGCTGCTCTATGATGAGTGTGACTGGGAACGTGGTGGTTGTGGTGGGTGGGGGGCAGTGGCGGAGCTTAGTTGTTCTTTGGGGGGGCGATCGCCCCCCCTTCGTTTCAAATTTTTTTTTGATGTATTATATATATTTGGGGGGGCGATCGGCTTGTTGACAAATATTATCCTGCTGATTTTGATGGTCAAGATAAGCTCATTTTGAAGTTTCAACTGGAACATTTTGTCCTCGACGCCCGCAATGATCCAAAATTGAGAAGTCTTTCAATTATTTCCGAGTTATGTGTGGCACTGGCTGAAACTGAAAAGAAAAGTGAATATTTTCTTGTTGACCGCTTAATTCGCCTTGTTCTAACTTTTCCGGTGTCTACAGCTACTACCGAGCGAGCATTTTCTGTCATGAAAATTGTAAAAACAAGGCTCCGCAACAAGATAGAAGACGCATTCTTAGCAGATAATTTAGTTATGTATATCGAGAAAGAGATTGTTCAAGAAATTGATACTTCCCATTCGGCAGGGTAGGGCCTGACAACTCCCTCATCTTGGAGCTCGCTTCTGTTAGCAATGACATTGAAGGTCGCGTTTGGCACTTGAAACGCGAAGGTAGCGTTTGGCACTTGAAACGCGAGGGTCGCGTTTTGGTTTGGCGACATGAGGGTCGCGTTCTTCATGGCCGACGCGAGGGTCGAGTTTTGACTGGGAAACGCGAAGTTGAAGTTCGCGTTCAATGTAGACTTGAGGTCCGCGTTTTGGAAGTAAAACGCGCCATTGAGGGCCGCGTTCAATCTGGTTCTCGCGAAGCTCATGTTTGAGCTCAGGGTCGCGTTTAGGCTCATGAACGCGAAGTTCGCGTTGGTTGGAGGATCGATTTTCTCGAAGTTGTGCTCGTCGCTGAGACCTTCTTCTTCGACGAGCAGCGTTCTTCTTGGCCTGTTTCAAGGCTTTTGCAGCAACGTCGTTGACGTTTATGGAGCTGGTCTCCTCTATAGGCCGTTTATGGCCTGTAGCACGTCGTGCTGACGCGGAGGTGGGATATTCAACTCGCTGTGCGAGTTCAGCAGAGGCCGAGCCCGCTCCTGGAGCGGAGGGGCTGTTCGACGAATTTTGGCCAAAGGAGAGGACTTTCTTTGGCGTTCCAGCAACTGTTGGAGATTTAGTCTCCTTGGAAACTTTGTGGATCTTGCGCATAGCCTTGGGGCTAAGGGATCCAGAGGAGATAGCCTTCTCAAACTTGGCTTGATCAAACTCTACCACGAGAGTTTCGACATTCCTTGATCCCCCGAAGATCTCTTCCTTCCGATTACTCAACTGCCGAGATTTGTTGACCTTGGGTGGTTTTGATCCCCGCTCCCCTCAACTCTTTGCGGTTTTTTATCTCAGAAACCGATTGATCAACCTCTCAACCCGCCAACCCCTTACTCAGTTGAGTAAGTTGGTTATTTATAGGGTGATGTGGAGTGCAACCAACCCCTATTTCCGCTCCTTTGTGGGCGAGAATCCCTCAGAACGTGGGATAAACGGTTATGAGGCCGTTCAGCTTGCGTTTGAACAAGTCAAAACGCCTCAATTGGCGTTCTGGGCTTTAACTCTGCGCCCAAGGTTTGGGACGCAGAGTTAAATCTCTGTTAGGGATTTGAGACGCACGGGCCTCGTGTGTTCTGAACTTGGAAACGCACAGGCTGCTGGTGCGTTGAAATTTAACTCTGCGTTCAGAGTTCGGGACATAGCTGAGTCTGTTGAAGAACGCACGTTATGGGTGCGTTTCGTGATTTAACTCTGCGTTCAGAGTTCGATGTCTGTTGATGAACGCACAGGTTGTGTGCGTTTGAGAAACGCAGAAATGAATTTCTGCGTTTGGGAGAACTTGTTGGCTTATAACCTCGTCCACTATAACATTACAAAGGCTATTGTTTATTGATCTTTGCCTGTTATAGGATATGAGAGTCGTCAGATTGTAACTCTCACTGTTGGTTGTGAAGGCCACTGAACAGAGTTTTCATCAGCCGTCGGAAGTGTCGTCGAATTGTAACTCTTCTCGATCCGTGTGAAAAGTCTCCTATTTGCCGTTTTCGATCGTCGGCGTGAAAGCTATTTGATTGTAGCTCTCATTGTTGGAGCTTGACGGGAATCAACATCCATAGTGTCTTCTGGACGAATATTTGCCCACAGCTCTCTACCCAGCAACTCACCATCTAAGTCCAACCTTTTATTTCTAAAATCATTACACTGTTCATCAGCATCTCTAATAGTCGCTAATATAGTATTAGTCATGCTGTTGTCGCAGCCATCAAGATCAATCATCTCAGAAATGAGGTCGTGTTTGTAGCGGTTGTAGAGCTGCGGTTGCAGTGATTAGAAAGTCGTCTGATCGTGACTTCTATTGTTAGGGCTTGATAGGGATTAGCTATCCGTTGTGATTTTTAGACAGCCTACACATATCTTAGCTATATTATTTGAGTTACATATTTTCTATTCACTTTTATCACACACTGTATTGAGCTTATAATATGTCCATACAATATATTGTTGGGTAGTGGTGTATGATTTAGTGAGAGTGAGCTTCATTGTGTTCTCATTTACTATCGAGAACAAATCATTATATTTAAACCCTTATTGTGAGTATCACTTGTAATACACTTGTACACTGAGAGAAGTATGAGGCGTGAGATGGGGTCGAATCCAATAGGAGTGGCGTCGGTTGACAAACCTAGCGAGAGGTTGTATCCGAGCACTTGAGGAGGAGGACATGGGCTAGAATCCTATACTTAGTGTGTAAAGTGTGATTGCATAGTATTTGTTGTGTGAGAATTTTCGGTAAACTTGTAAGCCGAGTATGTAGAAGTTCCGCCTTCCAAACCGGATTGTGATAGTGGAGATCTCCTCGAGGTGAGGAGCGGGGACGTAGGTTGTGGGGACCGAACCTCGTAAACATATCGTGTGTTTGTGTTTGCTTAGCGTATATTTTATTTGTGCTTATTTTTCACATTGTTGTTCATATCTATCTCATATATTTCTTGTAAGAACAAATTAATCAATATAATTTTAATTAGAATATAATCGGGAGTAGATTAGCATAAGACCCTAATCACCCCCCTCTAGGATCTAACAATTGGTATCAGAGCTTGTTACTCTTTGATTTAAGGAATAATCGCCTTGAGTTAAAGATCCAAGTTATCGTTTTTGTGTTAATCTAGTTTTGATTGCATTTTGCTTCTTGCATATAACCATTATGGATATGTATGATGCATCTAGTCTAGGTTATGCTATTAATATTGCTCCTCATTTGGATATCTTTCCCTATGCTCAATTCAAACTCTTGTTCAATCTAAACAATTCGATTTATAGGAAATTATTGAGGATGCTTATATTGTTCCCACTTCGGAAAAATCCAAGTAGAATAAAGATGATAAAAGAATGTTTAATATGAACAAGCTTTTGTTAGAATATTTGCTTAGTGCCTTTCACTCATCATTTTCTAACAATTTTTTTCATTTTAATAGTACTTACACCTTATGGAAATTTATTGAAGCACATCAAGGGGACTTGGAGGCTATCCAACAAGCGTTGGAAAATTCCGCTTCGAGTTCTAAAGAAGCCTCATCTCCATGTACACGACCACTTGGTGATAACCCTAGTGAGGTATGCGAGCTTGACAACGATGATGATATTACTTTTGATGGGCTTACGCTTGAATTTGAAAAATTATACAATAGCTATATTGACTTAAAAAGTAAGCATATTAATATAAAATTCACTCATGAAACACTAGTCATTAAGTTTGATTTTATTGCAAATGAAAAAATAATTCTTAAAGAATGCAATGAAAATTTAAGATTAGAAAATGCTAGATTACTTAATGAAAAATATGATGCCATGTTAGAAGTAGAGATTAGTAAAAATAAATTAAACTCTATGATGAATAATCATGCTAATCCTACTTCTAGTAGCAATGCTTGTATGCATAATGATGAGTTGAATCAAATGAAAAAAGCATATCAACCTTAGATTCAACACTAAACACTTGTATTGCAAATAACAAAAAACTTATGGACTTGTGTGCAAAGTCCTATGATAATTCTTCTAAGAAACCTATTCACTATGCACACATGTATGACAAAATTCATAAATGTTCTATTTACGGTCTTAAAGGTCATGTAGTCCAATTTTGTCATAATGCACAAAAGCTTGACAAGCCTATTCATGATTGTGCATCACATCAAGCTTCTTCATCTCATACACATGTACACACATATAGTGTAAATCATAAACATACTCATGTGTACAAATGTGAATATTGTGGTCGTTTTGATCATTTGGCCATGTCTTGTTTTGATTTGAAAAGAAATTCTCGTTTGCAAAATAATTACAAAGAAAAACCTATTTTTGCAAATGAACCACGTGCACATTATTTCGGTCAACGCAAACCATTCAAACCCCTACATTGCACAAATTGTAATCGTATGGGTCATGTTTACGATTTTTGTTTTGATCGTATCGGTGCACAAAATACGCCTAAATGGATTCATAACCCTAGGGCCTTGGATTTACATGATGGGGGTCATGTCCTAAATTTTATTGGTACCAAAAAGATTTGGGTACCAAAATGAGCTCTAT